TATTGGTTAGTGAATAAAGCACTGTTGGCCAATAGGGAAGCAAGTTAGGAAGGACCAAGAGAGAAGGAGGATTCTGGGAAATGCAGTGGAGAGAAGTCGACATGTGATCCCAGGAAGAGAGGCATCCTAGATAAGTCTATATAAAATATATAGATTAATGGTTATAGTTGATACTTTAGACAGAGCTAGCAAATAGGAAATCCTAGTCATGGGCCAGCAGCATTGTAAATAATATTAATCTCTATATGTTAATTGGGGGCCCTAATGTGGAGGCGGAACTCAGGTGGCTGGTGGAAAGAGTTATCATCACAGATATTGGGTAAATGCTCATGGAATGTTAGCTGGATCTCTTTATGTTTCCATAAAAACCAGTGTGTTCACTTTCCACTACTGTTGCAACAAAACTATAACAACTTTCTCCTAGTTCTCAGGGCCAAATATCTCCCTGGTGAAGAGACCCAGGAACTAGCATGGCCAACCCTTCTTGAATTGGTACTATCATTCTAGTGTTCATACCATACTCCAGGGTCCACATGTATTTCTTGACTTACATGTCCTATTATTTTCAGAGCTATCCACATGATATCTTCTGTACTTTCTCATCTCTCTTTCTCTGTACACAATGCCTTCAAGACTTTTCCTTTTTAGGGACATCATTATTGAGCCCAACTAGGTAATTCAAAAAAGACCCACCTTTTCATATCCCTTATCTTAGTATATCTACAGTCTTTTTCCCCCAGTAAAGTAACATGTTGGAAGGTTTCAGTGATATGGATGTGGTCATTTCCAGAGGCCACTTTTATGGGATTTGGATGCAGAAGCATGTTGCCCATTTGTCACTGTCAGGAAGACATTCTAACACCTAACCCCAGGTCCAGTAAAGAAGTGTTCAATGTACAATGTACATGAACATAGAATAATCACCCCCCCTACCCTACCCCTGAACTCACAGTGTCACACTCATCTGAACCTGCTGAGAGGAGGACACACCACTGCTCAGGCTGGGGACAGCTTGAATTGCTCTTCTCTCCCCAGATGGTCCAGTATATCTAATAGTTTTCCCCATACAGATGTGTGGCTTTACCTGTACAGTGTATGGCTTTACCTGCATAGTTGTGTTCTTGAGGCTGATAGTAGTTCCACTTGAAGAATTCCCATGGATTGAGTGTTCAGCCCTTTGGTTTGGAGATTTAATTTTACTGGATAATGATCTTGGTGCTTTTAAACATTTCCTGTTGCTTGTTAAACTGCCTGCTCGATTCGGCTCCAAATAACAGCTTAAGGCATACAAGTGAAAATTTAGCTCCTCGTATTTAACAACTACTATAATTTTAAAATCTACTTTCAATTACGAAAAAAAAAAAACCTTGTAATTCTCAAAAAATGCTTGTGTTCCAACGAAGTGCTAAAATGTCGATGGAATGTAAGTCCACTTTAGGTCTGGGAGAAACTGTACTGTTATCAAGTGGCTTCATATCAAAAAGCTCATTCAAAAGTGCTACTGACATGATGGTCTAGTGAGGCATTTAATATTTGTCTTTATACATCTCCCCATGATATCAGGACAATCTCCAGTAATCAAAGGGGATGAAAAGAGCTCAAGTAAAGTATTTGTTAAATCTAAATATGTACAATTGACATTTTCAAGAAAATGTGCATAAGGGATGTATTGATTTAGGAAATGAAGATCATTTATGATTCTGGATACATGGTGGCTTTTGAGACTGACAATAATCTATTTTATGCTGCCAACAGTATATGGATGGAATCAGTCTTCCAAAGAGAATGATTATCTTTAAAGCAATGCACCACTTTTTAAAGCCTAGTCTAATTGGACTCTGTCATTGAGGAATAAAGTAAAAGCTCAAAGCAAATAATCTTTGTATTTAAAAATGAAGTTGAGATTAATGTAGATATTTGACCACAGAGGTGAGTCTGAGAGCTGGCAATGAATCAGTAGCATGTAACAGTTCTACTGATTCAGCATATCAATTCCTGGGTACTGGCCAACACCAAATGTTTACAGATGTAGGAGAAAACAGGATTGCTTTAATAACAATGGAATCTTCTGTGGTTTCAGATAGAAAAGGTAAGGCTATGGCTATTTTTTAAGATGAAAGAACAAATTTGTGGTACTTCATGCCCTTCCCAATGTCTACCCTAAACGTATACTATTCTTTGGAGAGAAACATAATTGAAAGCATTTGATCTAAATTATTTATGTGCAAATTCATATGCTATTATATTCCAGTAGATACAGATTAAGAAATGTGATATATATATGTATATATTATATATATATATAATATATACATATATATATATATTCTCTCAACCTTGGAGAATTGTTTTGATTAGACAGACAGGTCTTTGAGAGGGTTTGCAGTGAGTGTTTCATCACATGTATAGGCAAGCATGTTTTGTTTTTCTTTTCTTCTTGGCAGTTTGGCTGGCCAAGGACATCTACATACTGTGTCAATAGGCACACAGAAATTTATAGATGGCAATTGAACATGAATTTTTTTTCTCACATAGACACAGACTGAAAATATCAAATTGAACATATTTATACCGGAGACAGCTTTGGATTTGTCCTTCGCCTGAATTGCATAGTTTTCCTTTTAATACATGCTTTTAGAAATGTCAGTTAAATTTTACACAATGTTTATTAAAGCATACTACACTGAAGGGTTTATTTCAGTCTTCTGCTCTTTGCAATGGGTAGAACTGTTGTTTACACCTGCACTATACAATCTTATTTACACACTAGTCCTTCTCTTAGATACGGGATGATTTTTTTCAACTGTTAGTGTTCTGATCCTACTATTCTCATTAAAAGAGACACATGTAACTGAACTATTTAGCAAAGCTGTAACATTCTATTTAAAGTACTTTATATGTCATTACAAAGAAAAAATGACATTATCAAATATAAGAAATAAGAAAAGTAAATTTTCAAACTATTTGTGATGTGCTCAATGATGATGCTTTGGAACACAGTAATCAAGACTGAGGCTTCATTTGGTAAAGGGCTTGCTGTGCAACACCTGAGGTTGGCTCCCCAGCATTCACACAATGTCCAGACATGATGCTCCACACCTGGCAATCTCAGCCCTGGGAAAAAGAGACTGGAGCATCCTGTGGGATTAAGTTCACAGTTTAGCCTAATTAGTGAACTCCAGGCTCAGTGAAAGAACTTCATAACAAAGGAAAGGTGAAAGTGATTTAGGAAGACATCTTAACATTAACCTCTGCATCCACATTCAGCTATATGAGGAAGCACAACTATGGGCGCTCTCGTGTGCTCACTTGTGTGTGCGTGTACATACACACGCGCACACACACACACACACACACACACACACACACCTCTGTCTGTCTCCTCTGTGACTCTGTGTGTATGTGTGTTTGTGTTTCTCACATATACACATTTAAATAGAATGCTAAAGGATGTTGGCTTATTTTCTGGAATATAATAATTTACATTTACTTATTAAATGGTTAATTAAATATTCATCATTAGCAGTCATCCAAATTTCAACTTGAAGACACACTTATCAGTAGTCTTTATGGGGGAACTCAGATCCATTGAAGCAAACAGGTTTCCGAGTGTGGTTTTTTCTTTCATTCAGATGAAGGGCTGACTAGTTTCATGAATGATAAAGGTTTTATTTTATTTTTTTGATTCCCTGTGTGTCTGTATTTATGAAACTGATGACTCTCTAGATCTATCTAGAGCAGCTTGCTGTCTTTACTAACAAGGGACGGACTAAACTTGCTTACTGTTGGTGTCCACAGTTTACGAGGAGATAATCTAGTGCACAAAAAGTATGGTACTTCAATTATTGGAAGACATGGAAAAATCTGGAGAAGCACAGATTCAGCTTCAAATGTAGGTCTTGCTAATCTTTGAACTGCTACTAGAGATGAGGTTGCTCTAGGCAGGAAGAACCGTCAAGAGTTGCCAGGATTTCTTTTATTACTAGAAAACCACCCTGGAGTCAGTTTGCCCATGGTTTAAAGTGGAAACATCAGTGTATTTTGAGTTTATCACAGGATAAAGTGTGTGATTTGTTGCTAAGTTCTAAGACATGAAAAGTACATTACTGAGGGGCAAGGAAGTGAGAGGACGGATTTTTTTTAAGGAATAGGAACCATTTTTAGCTGCAAAGATTTTAAAGTTTTGTACAGACATATATAATTTTTTCTGAATTTATTGATTTGAGCCTCTCATCAGCTCTCCTTGTCACCCCACCAAAGCACAGGGTTTTAGACCAATGAAACAGGTGAACTTACTTTTGTCTTTTTTTCCTCCACAGTTAAGAAAGTGTATGGTTCATTAGAATCGCTACTGAAAGAAAATGAATAGAAGGACATGCATTTTTATTCAAATTAGATATCAATTGTGTGCAAAATATTCCTAAACTACACATCCTTTGACCTAGAGACATCATTTTAAAAATATGGAAATTATAACATGTTTAAACCAATATTTTGCTGAAAAACCATAGGAGATTAAAATAGGCAAAGTTAGAAACAGCTTGGTGTTCAATTGTCTGAATACTGATAGTGAGGTGTGTGGACTCACAGTTCATACCAATGGTATACTAACATTTATTCAATATAAGGTAATGAGCAAGAAACACAAAGTTTATGTTCCCATTGAATCCATATTATATATAGAAGAATTGATTGATAGAATAGAGCTTTTGATATGTATGATCAAAGAAAAAAATGAGGCATCAATATGGGATCCCCAGAATCTTATCCAGCAGTGGGTGGTTTCTATGCTACTGAGTTTTTTGTTTGTTTGCTTTTGTGTCTCTCTGTGTGTATGTGTGTGTGTGTGTATATATATATATATACTCCTAGGGAGAAGATGTGAGCCCAATTTAGTTTGGCTGTGAAGAATGGAAATCTATGTGAGGGAAGGCATGGTGGATCTGGTGTCTACCAAATGAAAGCAGTTACTGATTCAGTGAGGCCGAGTCTTCAAGACACTACCTCAGCGACAAACCCAGACTCATAGAAGCACGATTGGGAGAGAAAGTCAGAAACATGTAGGGACTGGTTTCTGTTTCCCATGAGCCAGTTGTTCCTTATGAGGTATCAACTCTCCTACTTATCTAAGTTACTAATAGATGCTAAGAACCTCTATTGTCAGCCCAAGGAAAACCAGGTATAAAGTGATTCAGTCCATCGAGTAGATACCTGAAAGCTAAGGTGTGTAGAACACTGATTGATAGACAATAGAAAAGTTCCTACACTAAGAGCCTGTTTTTAGCATGGGAATTATTAAATGTGTACATTGACTCAATGGTTGAGGTTTGAGAATATTTTTATGTATTTTCTTTATGCTATTAACTTGTAAGTTAACTCTAAAATGTAAATTTATTATCTTTTATTCCTGAGCAAGTTCTATTTTCCACCCAATGGTTGGTTACTTATTTATGTTAAATGTAAAATTTTGCTTGTCTAATGGTATAGAAAAAGTTAACCAACTCCAAGAAGAAATCAAATTTTCAAATAGTTTGTAAGTCTAGTATACAATATACTCCCTTGTGGTGGTGGTGGCAGTGGTAGTGGTCATGGTGGTGGTGGTGGTGGTGGTGGTGGTGTGTTTGTGTGTGTGTGTGTGTGTGTGTGTGATGACGATCTCATTGTAGAATGTGTTGTTCATCTTAAAGAGCTTACAAGAAACAAAGACAGAAAAATAGGAATGAATATATCGAATATATATTTACAGGACATTAGATAGTTAAATACTTTCTATATATACCATAGAAAGCATATATATATATATTTTAACTATAACTATCTAATATATATAGAGAGGAGATGGATCATATGGTGACTGGGTACAATTATAGATGAGATAGTTAACTGTCTCCCTAATCTGTTGACTCTGGAGAAAGAAATAAGGAAGTGAAGGAATGATTCTAAAGATAATTTAGAAGAATGTGTGCCAAGAGGGAGAAGAAGAGCACAGAGATGGAAATGAGTATGGCAGGCTCAAGGAGCAACAAGGAGTTTGGAGTGGGCAAGATGAGAGACATGTAGAACCATATTGATGTATGCAGTGTTAGTGAATTCTACTTAATCTAACTGTGCTATTGGGAAGGCCACGGCTTTCCTGTTCTGTATCCTCCATAGTTTCATCCCCATACAGTGCCTAACAGAGCATATTTACAGAATTAACTCCTATGTGCTTGCATCTAAGGAGATAAGTTATGTCTTAGAAATATTTAAAACATTTGCCATTTCCACACTGTTACTTGCTGCATTTTCATTGACTTGCCTGGTCCCTGTAAAGCTCTATGAGGGCAGGGCTACACAAGTCCTCTTCATTAGTGTGGTCTTCCACTGCAGATACATGGCTTTGGAAGAACAACCTGCCATCTTTACATGGGAATTTATAGAACAGATAAAGTGAAAATATGAATGAGGCAATTAGTTGAAAATTAAATTCAGTTATAAAAAACTGAACCAGAGAGTGTTCAAAAATATTCTGAACTAAACCAAATAATTCTCTCTCTCTCTCTCTCTCTCTCTCTCTCTCTCTCTCTCTCTCTCTCTCTCTCTCTCTCTGTGTGTGTGTGTGTGTGTGTGTGTGTGTGTGTGTGTTAAAGGGGGCAAATGTTAATACTGTTAATACTGGATGGATGACAGCACAGGGTAACATCCGAAACCAGTCATGGCTTACAACAGTGGCCAATTTATAGCAACGTGGATGCTTCTCTGTATTCATAGTTTTCACTTAAGTCTATTTCATACAAGATGTAGAGTAAAAATAAATGTGTTTTTAAAGGATCACAGCATGCCAGCCCAGTCTTCCATATTCTTACTTTCTATCATGACAATTTCAAATAAATCATTCCTTTGTATGCTTTCATGCCTCCTCTCTAGGCACTGGCTAATCTACTCATTCTTCAGATTTCAGAACAAATTTCTTCCCAATGAAAAGCAACTTTCACCTTCAAGAACAATTCATGTTATCTTCTTATGAGATGTCATTGCATCTAATTTCTCCAGGAGAGCCTTGAACCATCCAGTAAACAAGAATTAGGAAATTACCCATTCAGCTTCAGGCTTCCCCATACAAATGAAGTCTGAAATCTTCCGTAGCTCTATCACTAGATTATTTCCTTGTTGCTAGCTCCTGGGAGGTGTCTGAAACATGGAATGCACTGAAGATTATAGAGATTAAAGGTTATTAGTTTTAATTATATTCAGAGAAAAGAGTCATCCAAGCTACTTTTCCTAAAAAGTCATATTGAATAAAATGGAGTTAGGTAATCCAGAAATAAAATGTTCATACAAATGAAGAAAATAAACTTCTGATCAATGAAAATGCTTTCAATTACATGAAAAATATTTTCTTTGTGCATGCATGTGTGTATGCGCATGCGAGTGAGCGTTCGTGCGTACCTGTGTGCCTACGTGCTTGTGTGTGTGTGTGTGTGTGTGTGTGTGTGTGTGTGTGTGTGTGTACAAGCATATGTCACAGTTCACATGTAGATGTCAGAGGATATCCATGGGTGTTGGTCCTCACCCTCCACCTTGTTTGATATAGGGTGTTTGCTGCTGTGTAGTCCAAGTGAACTCAAAGCCCAAAAGCTTTTAAAATCTTACTGCCTCCACTTCCCACCTTGGCTTAGTAGCTCTCTGATTGAAGACTTGCTGGCTTCTAAGGATTTGGGCTCAGGTCCTTACATTTGAGAGCAAGTACACATTGAGCTATCTCCCCAGCCCAAAATACTATATTTTTAAAAATATCTTTTTAATATTCTGTTGTGTTGATATAATTGAGTTAGCTTTACCTCCCAGAAATAATGAAAATCTGTCATATATCAACTTCTGCCTCTAGTTTTGCTTATGCCAACTATGTGTCTGTTTTTAAGGATTGCAATCCTTTATTTTTTATATTGGTTCAGCACAAAGTTGTAGCAAACTGCAGAATTTTGCTACAATTACCAAACACTGCATAATTTTATCTAATTATACAGAGCTAATGTGAAACCTCCCTGTATTAATAATAAAGCAATTAACCTAAAATACCAAGTGGTGTGAGTTTCTTGACTATTTCCTCATTACCACAGTCTGTTCCCAGTTTTGAACAATGAACATTATACTCTATAAATGTAAGCTCCGGATAAAGTTTATTTTTGCATGGATCACAATAGCCTTGATACTCATCACCTTCAATTTTCTCACTGTTCTCCTCCTCACATTTGTATGTGTGAAAGGTGGTATCTGCTATAGGAGTTCATTAATGATCTAGATGAATTTAAGGGTAATTAAGAGACATAGTATTATATTATCATAACCCTCTGAATTTACTTTTTCTCTATTTTTAATGCCAATGGATTTTGTAAGAGACACTTCCATTGTGTCTGACAAGTCCGATGTTATAGTGTCAATGAAAGCTTGCATGGAAACCATTATCTTGTCAATTCTGTGATGTCAGTGGCAACTTGATGTCAATGAAAATGTATAAGGTTTTTCCATTATCAGTGTAGCAGCTTCTCTAGGCTTTTCAACATATCAAAAGACACTCATGGGTAAAAAAGACTAACAACCTGAAATTGATGACTGCAGTTTTGAAAATTAAAGGTGGATATTGCAAGACTGCTTCTATTTTCAGCTGAGCATTAAATATATAGAACACAAATAAAATAATAGGCAGTTATGTTTGCTTGAAAATGCAAACAACTTATAATTTAAATTTATTTGAATTTTCATGACTATTTCTTATTTGTAAAGGGGAATAATGATCAGAATTTTTCTCATAGATAATAAATTCTAGTTAAATATATTCTTATACCATGAAATGCATAAAAGTATGAAGGTCACTGGAAATGGTGACTTCAAGCCACCATATCCTTGTAATATTGAACTGTTTCATATGGTGACTTCCCAGGAAGATGTAATCATGCTGTACCACTAATGCTGGGCAAATGACACTTAGGTCTTTGTGTAATAAAATAAATATGGATTGTATTGTACTAATACACAGTTTATATTTCAGTACATATGAAGTTGCTTAGAAAAGCTTTTTCATTTTGTTTATGATCCTTGAGGCACAAATTTTGCCTCAATTTGCCTTGGTAAATATTGAAAATTTATGAATGCAATCGGATGTGTATCTTTTTCTAAACAATCTTTCACTTTCTTGCTTTCTCTCTAATATAATGCCATAATTTGCTTTGAGTTCCAATCACTGGAGATGATAAAAGTTGTGAAAAAAAGTGAGACAAAAATAGTTTCATTATTTTTAGTAGTTTGCTAATTAGCTCCTTGGTACAGGCAGTTCTTAGAATGAGAAGAAATTTGAAAAAATAAAATACACAA